CTGCGTATCGGTGGTCAATAATATGAGGCAAGGATGGTTGTCTTCCACTCACAATTTCAAATGGGCTCTTCCCAGTTGATGAACTAGATTGGCAACTAAAACAAAATTGGACCGCATCTAGTAGCGGGACCCAATTCTTCTGGCGAGAGTCAACGAAGTGTCGCAAATATTCCTTTAACAAACAATTGACTTAGTCTGTCCATCAGTCTGGGGATGGTAGCTCGAGGAGATGTTTAAGGTTGTCCCCAAGCAGGCGAATAATTCCATTCAAAATGTCCCAATAAATTTGATGTCTGTATCACTTATAATACTTGATGGAATGCCCCACAACTTCACAATGCTTTTAAAGAATAGTTGGGCAGTCAATTTAGCCAAGCATATCTTGGACGTGGACACGAAGGTGACATATTTCGAGAATCGGTCTATGATGACCAAGATGGCTTCATGTTTGCCTACCTTCAGAGGTGTGTGATGAAGTCCAAGGACACACTTTCCCAAGGTCTTGTTGGTATTGGCCTCTTCGAGGAGACCCGAGACCTTTGCCCCTTCAACCTTGTCTTGTTGGCAGACGAGACACGTCTTGATGTAATGCATTATGTCGTATCGCATGTTCGGCCAAAAGTTTCCCTTTTTCACTAAGGCATACTTACATTGCTGCCCAGGGTGACGTACCCATAAAGTGTTGTGACATTCTTGGATGAGTTTCTTTTTGAGATATCCTGCTTTTGGGACGTAGAACCAATTACCTTTTGTAAGCAAAAGGTCCCCATCGACCCAAAACCGTCTTGTCTTTCCGGCTTTGGTTAACTCAACAATAGCTTTGGCTGAAGGATCTCTTTGTAGGTGTTCCTGTATGATATCTCGCATCGACCTGTTGTTCTTACTGGAATGAATGTGGACTAACATGCATAGGGCCGCAGGTTCGCCCTTCCGACTCAATGCGTCAACAACTTGATTACTCTTTCTTGCTTTATGTTCGAACCTGAAGTCGAACTCAACTAATTTTTCTTGCTACCAAGCTTGCTTGTGACATTAATTTTGGTTGGTCAAAGAAGTGGCAAATGGCATTGCCACTTTTGTCTGTCCTCACCACAAAGTGAGATCCTAGCAAATATTGCCTCCAGACTCTAAGACAATGGATGGCAGCTAGCATTTCTTTTTTTGAGACGATGTATCTCCTTTCTATATTGTTGAGTTTTTGACTTTCATAGGCAATAAGGTGACCTTCCTAGATAAGGACACTCCCAAAGGAAAAGTCAGATGCATCCGTCTCTATTTCAAAAGGCTTAGAGACGTCTACCAAGTTGAGGAGAGGGCCCCTCGTCATGGCTGCCTTCAGATCTTTGAAGGCCTTTTGACATTCATCTGACCACGACTAGGAGTGGTCTTGCTTCAGTAGTTCTGTTAATGGGGCGACTCGCCTTGAAAACCCTTCAACGACCCGCCTGTAATAGTTTTCCAATCCCATTAAGGATCATACTTTGGTTATTAAAGTAGGGGATCTTCCACTTTTGGATAGCTTTTGCCTTACCGCTCTCCAGGCTGATTTGCCCCAGGAAGTTGATACATTTTTATGCAAAGGTGCATATCTCTCTTTTCATGTATAGCTGGTTTTGCCTCAACTTTTTAAAGACTAAGCACATATGTATCTTGTGTTCCTCCAATATGGCACTGTATACAACAATATCGTTGAGATAAACCACGAAGAATTGGTCCAAGCACTCGTGAAAGACCTGGGTCATCAAGGTATAGAACGTAGCTGGAGCGTTCGTCAAGCCAAAGGCCATCACCATATCTTGTCATGCAAGTGGTTTTAGGTTCGTCTCCCTAAGCAATATGCATTTGGTAGTATCTCAACCTTAGGTCCAACTTCATGTGAAATATTTGACCCCATGAAGCTAGTTAATCAAGTCGGTAATAATCGATAATGGGTATTTATTGCATATTGTCATTTTGTTAGGGCCGTGTAGTCAATACACAAACGTAATGTTCCATCTTTCTTTTTCTGAAACAACACAAGGGACCCCTATGGTGCTTTTGCTGGACGGATGAACCCTACAACCAACAACTCATCTAATTGCTTCCTCAAATCGACTAGCTTTGGTGGAGCCATCCGATATGCATTCTTCGCCGGGGGTTTGACCCCTGTTAGGAGTTCGATTTCATGATCAATGCCCCGACGAGGTGCATAATCATGTAGGACGTCTTGAACTTCCTTCGGGATAGGATCGGTGGTGGTTACTTAATCCACAAAAGGTCTGGCCATAAATGTGGGCTTCTCTCGAACGAGTCCTCTCTTGAGTTGCAGGGCGAAATTATCAAGTTGCCCGACTATTTGATGCTTGCGAGTATTACGGTAGGATTGCAATCAGTAATTACTATGCACTTCGCCAATGGTATTGGGATCACTTTGTGTTCAAGAAGGAAGTCCATCCCAAGTGCCACGTCGAAGTCATCCATGCGAACCACGACTAGATCCATTTCTCCAGGCCAAGCCCCCAATTTCAAAGAGACTCTCTTGAAGACCCCAATAATAGGTAGGGCCTCTGAATTAATTGCTTTCATTTTTCTAGAGTCTTTCTCTATTCAGAGTCCCAATCTTCGGGCTTCTTGGTCTTAGATGAAATTGTGGGCCGCGCCCGAGTGTACCAAGGTGCTTCTGCTGGGTCACAAATTTATCAATGTGTTGACAACATTATCCCCTTCTCTCTCACTTTTTTCAGATCGATCTTCCTTTGAATGACTGATAAAAATTTCAACACTCTTATTCTAGGAGTGTGATGGTCTTCCTCTTTTTCTGCTGTCGGTTCGGCTCCTGGGTCATTACTCATCTTCCTTTGAATGACCAATAAAAATTTCAACGCTCACATTTTAGGAGTGTCGTGGTCTTCCTTTTTTTTTTTCTATTGTCGGTTCGGCTCCTGGGTCATTTCTCTCTTGTATCAAGAATTGGAGTGTACTGAGGGGTGCTCGGTGAGGGTAATAGGAAAGTTAGTGGGGGCTTTTACACAACATGCATTGTAAACTGGAGTCTTTCTTTCGAAATTGGTGTCACCCCGAAAGTTTAGGAGTCTTTCTGCAGTAGCAAATGCAACCACAAGACCTTGCACCTTTTGTTCATATAATTTTGTTCTCACCCACGATTGCAATCCTTCGACAAAGTAGAATACTTTGTCCTTCTTGGACATATCTTTAATGTCCAACATCAAGGTCAAGAATTGCTTTACATAATCTATGATTCCTCCTGTGTGTTTCAATTCTCGCAGTTTTCACCTTGCTATGAACTCTACATTCTCGGGGAAGAACTGAGTCCTCCTCAACTCTTTCTTGAGGTCTTCCCACCACTTTATGGTGTATAACTCGCTTTGAATGTTGTTTACATTCGAACGCCACCATAGTTTTGCATCACCTACAACATACATTGTGACCATGGTAACTTTGAGTTCTTTTGAATAATCGAAGACGAAATTTTTGAGTTCCTTTGCATCCTGTTTCCCTTTAAAGGCCTTGAGTTCTGAGATCTTTAGTTTGTTGAGGCTAACTTATGCTTGACTTGGGGTTTGATTCTCTACAGCCCGCATGATCAAGTTCAATTGGGTATTCATTTCGACCATCTCTTCCTTGATGGCTTCTATTGTTGTCTTGAAATCTTTAGTCAACTCGCTGAAATGTTTCAGCATGGTCCTCTGTGTAATGTCTAGCTCTTCAACACGTCCTTCCATGTGTGTGACAAAACTCTCAGAGCTACCTTTGCGTTCTGAGTTGTACAATCGTGTAGCTCTTTCTTCTAGGAAGTCAATTCTGAATATTAGTTCTTTGATTGACAACCCATTCAGGCAGGTGCCCATTGCGTCAATTTCATTGACTTTTCCACTCAATTCTGTCACTCGACCTTTCAATAAGCGGACAATGTTGAAGATTTCTTTTAAGAAGGACATGTCATATTCGATCTCAGTGAGTCGCTCAACTTGCGACTTAGCCAACTTCTTTAGTGCCAACATCGTTTTGGTCTTTGATGCCACTAGAAGCTAACGAAGCTCTGATACCACTTGTCACAATCACACTTTCTTGACAACAGACTAGCGATTGTGCGAGGAAAATCGGACTTTGCGGACAATTCTAGTGTATGGTCAAGCCTAAAGTCATGTTTTGAAAGAAAATGTTTTAGAAAACATGGGCGAGGAAAATTGTTGCAAACAAGTTGAAATTAAGCATTGTGAAAGTCAATTGTATTGAAAATATTTGGGCAAGGGAGATTACAATACTTATTTGAGGGAGGTTTAATGACTACTTGGTCCCCATGTAGTACATTTTGAGGCAATTCAAGTCTGGCTGGGCTAGACATGATTTCGTCTAATAGTCATACATCAGAAATGAATTAAGAAAGTAATACTACATAAAAGCAAGTAAAAGAGGTTTGGCGTGTCGTGGGCATACGACCATGGGTAACAGGTTCTGGACAAGCATGACCATGAGACCTGATACCATACCTACATCCTCTTCCAAATGGATCATAGACATTGTGCTACAACCCATATAACAAGGTAGTTTTCGCTTTGGCAGGCATATCAACATCTTCTGTTCTTGGATCTATCACCCATAAATTAACACCATCTCTCTTTGTCTTCTCTTTTACCTTTGCTTCAACTTTCTTTTAACTTGATTTTTGTTAGTAAACTCACTTGTTACAACTATTTTGTTTTCTTTTTTTCCTGACTATTGCTTGTCTCAAAATCGTACGACAAAAAAGATTATTGGTAAAGAATATAAATGGGGGGTCTTTACATTTTTTATCATCAAATATCAAAAGTTGAGGTCTGCTATGGAGTTGCATCCCCATGTGATTTGTATCGATTTGCCAAATTTCCTCATCTTAGTTCCAATTCGATTTGCCAAATTTCCTCATCTTAGTTCCAATCCTAGAGTCAATAAACAAGCTAATGCTCCTTTGAATTAGTTCATTTAGACATTCGGGGTTCATGTCCAATCGTGTTTCAAATAGGATTTTGATATTTTGTTACTTTGATTGACGATTATTCTCGTTTGACTTGGTTATATTTAATAAAAAATCATTTTGAGTTGCTTTCTTACTTTTGTGCTTTCCATGCTGAAATTGAAGCTTAGTTTAATGTCTCTCTTTAAACTTTGCGCACTGATAATGTTGGTGACTATTTTTCTCTATGCTTGATCTTATGTAAAAATGGTGTTATTCATTAATCTTCATCTATTGATACTCCATCCCAAAATGAAGCTGCTGAATGAAAAAATAGGCACGTACTTGATTATCCTTTCAAATGCATGTTACAAAGCATTTTTGGGCCAACACAATTTCCATTACTTGCTTCTTGATTATAGAACGCCTTTATCTTTTTTTATTGGTGAGATACCTTGTTGTGTTCTTTTTACAACAAAATCTTTGTTCCTGGTTGCACAAAAACTATTTGGTTGCACTTGTTTGGCTCGAGATGTTTGTCTTATTGTACCAAGTTAGACCCCAAATCCTTGAAATGCATATTCCTTAGCTGTTCTCATGTTTAAAAAGGATATAGTTGTTATTATCCTAGTCTTAACAATGATTTCTCCTGGTGTTACATTTTTCGAAGATATGTCTTTTTACTCCATCACTATTGTGAGCCAGTTTTAAGGGGAGGATGTCAATTAGATTATCTCTCTAGCCTCTTCCCCTACTCCATGTTCTTTAATTTCTATTCCTCCTTGCCCACCCATTACTCAAGTGTATTCTAGGCGGCCACCACAACAACCTTCAGGCACGTGTCCTATGCCAGTAGTTTCTTCGACATTGAGCTTCCCATTGCCTGTTGTGAAGTTTAAACACGTGTACTTAGCCTACTTCTTCATTTGTTCTTATAACCAATTGTCATCGCCCGAATTCTTTTATTACATCACTTGATTCTACTTCTATCACTAACTCAGTTATTAAAAGATCAAACCTAAAATATTTTATTTTTTTAATTATTAAAAATCGTTACAATAGAAAATTGTGAATGAAGACTTAAATGACAATTAAATGTAGTTTAAAATTTAAATGGTGCATAAAACCCAATAAGTTATTGCCCACGAAATCAAGCTCAATATTAAAAACGACATTAAAATTAGCCCATTTAAGAGAAAGAACCACTAAAATATGTTTCCCTTCCCCCTCCCAGGCTTCTTTCTATTCCCCTTTAAAGTCTCTTCCCTTCACCCCTATCATGCTTTCCTCCCTCTCTAGTCATTCGTTTGATCTTCCTCCCTTCCCCGCCTTTTTGCAGCCACCATGCTTCTGACCAACACTGCCGTTTTTGACCAATGTTGTCGCCGATCGCCACTCTCCAATGTCGCTGCTGACCATAAAGATTTGGATCTTTTTTGTGTTTGTGCATGTCCTAGGCGTGTCTGTACATGTCCATCACATATTTGTAATTATAAAAAAAGGACACAAATTTTAACGTGTCTGACACTATTTGGAGTGTGTGCAAACGTATTAGTGTTGGACACGTGTCAAATGTCTCAATCGCACTCTTGCAGCAACAAGACAACGATTGTGCGGCACTTGTTCTAATCCAAGCGAACAACTCAGCCGTGAGAAATTCAGATCCCCATATAGTACATTTTGGGGCATTTTAACCCGGACGGATATAGCCATGGTTTTGTTGAACGGTCATACACCCCATATTGAGACAACAATAATAGTAAATGCCTATCTAATATGAAAACAAGCAAAAAGAGGTTTGGAATGGGCATGTGGCCATGGACAACATGTCTTGGACAAATATGACCAGGACATCCGTCATGCGGCCACAGGCAATGCGCCTTTGGACAAACATTATTGTGACATCTAACACAAACATTTTTGTAAAAAATATGTTTGTGCTTCCTAGTAGGCAAAAATTGAAGCCTTAACTAAGAATAATAAAATTACAATAAAGGACAAGATTAATAAGCTCCAATATTCACATATATATATAGGCCAAATCGGTAGGTTTAAGAGGTATTGAGAATTTAAAGGCGTGGAATGAGACTTTGTTGGCTAAGTGGTTATGGCACTTTCCTCAGAGTTTGGTATCTTATGTCATAAGGTAGTAAGTGTGCACCCATCCTTTTAATTGGTTATTCGGCGAGGTCTAGAGAGGTACTATCTAAAATCGCTAGAAAGCCATCTCTAATCGGTTTCCTTTCTTCCCTCACCCTGTTCCTATGGGATGGATATTCTTTTGGGAGCCTAAGTAGTTGGGGGATAGACCTTGCTGTTTCCTTGATTATACAACTTGTCTACTATGAAATATCATTCGGTGACTTCTATTCTTCTCACCTGTGGGAGCTCTTGTGTTTTCTAAAGCTTGAGGAGCACTAAAGTGTAATAGCCTTTTGAAGCTTAAGAGCGAGGCACAACTTTGTTTTGTGAGGTGCACAATAGAAAAATATAAGTTAATTTTAATGCATGGAGACAAATAGTATGATGAATATTAAGATGATGCAAAAGTTAAGAAAATAGAGCTTTTAATTGAGATTGTAAGAATATTCATGCATTTCTTCCCTCAAATTGAAAAAGTTAAAAAATGAAAATAGGAAATGAGGCTTAAGGTGTTGAGGTGCACACCACAAGCATTGAGGCGCGCACCTCAACTGGGCTTCATTAAGGGAGCCTTCTTCATGAAGCAATGTGCAGAGGCTGCATTCTGGGCTTAAGCGTTCCTAGGAAACCCTTGTTAAAATCAAGGAATTTAGTAAAAAATAGACTTGTGTACCATGTGTTCTGTACTCAGTCTTGAAAGAAGACCCATCGTACTCACAACTCCATCCAAGACGAGATAAATAGGGATAGCGAAGAAATAGGCTAAGTACATGTGCGCTTACCTTTTACGATGGAAAATACGAAACTCATCACTTAGTCCTGTATCGGATGTCTTGGAATATTCTGATAGTGGACGTGTCTGAAGGTTGCTGTTGTGTTGTAGCACAACTTCTTTATCTTAGAAGATTGTTTGTACAAAAAAAACCTTTCGAAAGTAAGTTCATTATCTTTGTAAATTCTTTTATTCCTTTCTTGCCAAGTAATCTAAAAGAAAGCCCTAACAAAGTGTATCCACAACAACTTCTTTTCCTTGCTTAAGTGACGACCCAATAACACAAGGGTGAGGAGAAAATATGGTTCATGTGGTAGAACCATCAACCAACCAAAAGCTGAAAGCATTTGGTTCCATAATCTCGATGCATACAGGAAAAAAAACAAAAGGGTGGCTTTGACTTTAATCAATGGCATTATCTTTTGTTAAAAAAGGGTGTTTGACAGTGGTGAGGTGGACTCAAAGTCAAACCCTATATACTTTGGTAACAAATTCAGTTACAATACGTCAAATCTCATTTTTCCCTAATTCCATTATTCCTTTTGCTGGATACTTTATTCAAGATTTCTGTTTAAATTAGCAAGCATTTATATTCCCTTGTAATTCCGTTATTTTACTTTACTGTTTTATTGCTTTCTTTTGTATCTATAGAACATTAGCCTCTTTTCATTATATCAATGAAAAACTTTGTTTCTTGTTTTAAGAAAAAAGGTCAAATGTTATAAGACCAAATGAAAGTGCTTTATCCTCGAATCTTTTCTGATTGAAGTTTTACATGAAGCAGTATATTGAGTTCCGTTATGATTCCATAAATTCAAGGAGGTGGTAGTAGAATTCAGCTGAAGCATTTAACTATATATCTTTTATTTTATATGTGTTTCAATTGTTTAAATTGTTGCTGAACGTGGTGCGCCTGTTTTTTTCCAAGTATTTTATATTAGTAAAATTCTCTAGCTTGTAGTTGATGTTCTCAGATAATTAGTGTTAAATTTAGTATTATTGCTACCTGTAATGATCCACGACTGACACTTAGTTATTTTCAATTCTTATAATTTTTTTATTTGAGTTTATAGTTTGATGATCTCTCATCCTCATGTTCTAAATATTCATTTTGTTATAATATATTTTGTTTTTCTGTATAACGGCATCCTTTAATATAAGATGATTCATTATTACGTAACTGATATAGAATTTCTGTTGCAGAGTACAGTGATGTTTCCGCATATCGTTTATCTCTAGCAGAAGACACCAAAGCTCTCAATCAGTTGGTATGCTGTTTTACTTTTCATGTCAAATATTTAAGTCTATTCTTTTATCTGTGAACATTAACTTACTTTTCATTCATAAAGAAACGTGGCAATGTGCTTTCCAACCCCCAAATGTTCTTTTCTCTACAGTTAATCCATATATGGAACGACATTAAAAATTTATTAGAACATTTTCAAGTCTCCTTTACAGTTAATCCATATATGGCTGATAAGGCTTTGTCGAAAGTGAAAAAGTTTATAGACTGTAAGTTTTGGGACGCAAAATGGAGACTCATCAGTGATATGCGTTCGAAAATCGAGAAATAGTCAAGGGAAAAATATTTCTATAATTTTATTGAAACCCAGTTTCTATAATATTGGAATAATCTATAATATTGGAGCAATCTTTACATTGGAATGAGTAATTTCTTGTCGATAATTCGTCTTAAACCATTTAAGTTCACCTTTTTGCTGCAATTTTTCTGTAATGTTAATATGTTTTCAATCTCGCTGTTTGCTGATATTACTCATTTGCAGAATGCTCTTATCCATGAGGGGAAGGAGATGGCATCGGTGCTTTATACATATAGAAGCTGTGTTAAAGCACTTCCACAGGTTAAAATGCTGTATGAAAGTATTTAATATTAAGAGTTGCACATGTAATATTTATTTCTACCATTCATGAATGTGATTTTCTTGATAGACAACAGTTTTGTTTGTAAGCATCATGAAATAAAAATTGGATCATATTATGTGAAGATGTGTTGAGCTCACGGGTCCAAATGTGTCAAGTTAATATTTGTAATGCATTGGTAATTTGTAATTGCGGAAAAACTTTAGGCAAGGTGGCAATAATTTTTTTCTTCTTTTTGACATGGTGCAACAACTTTTGATGTCAATCATACTTTTGTTTTTTAGATGAAACAACAACTTTCATTGATAATGAATGAAAGAATGCAAGGGCATACTACAAAAAAAAAAAAAAAAAAAAAAAAAAAAAAAAAAAAAAAAAAAAAAAAAAANAAAGTTGGAAAAACAAAATAAAAAAGAAATGACAAACCTTCCTTTCAAGAGTTGAGACTCTCTGATGGTATTCCTCTCGCAATGACTCAATTTCCGCATCACTGGACTTTTTCTGTTCCATTAATGACGAACGTGAGTAATTAAACATATATTTCATCTTCTCTCTACAGCAGGGGTGGGGGGGGGAGGGAAGACTAGTTTTCTTTGTGTAAAACACGTTTAACTTTTGTTTTGTACAGTATACAGTGGCTAATTAAATGATGAGATGCCAACAAGTTAACAAAAAGAATATTCTCAAATGAGGACAAAAATGTCAGATAAATAAGCCCAACCAACGTTTTATAATGGAATTCAAATGACTTTGTTTAAGTGTGCAACTTGAAATGGTAGACCCAACATAATTAGATAATCAAAAAAACAAAAAAACAAAAAAAAAAAAAAAAAAAAAAAAAAGAAAAAGAAAAAGAAAAAGAAAAAAGTAAACCCCTAAAACGGAAGCCCCTTATAGGAAAGGACTCCCATTGTGCAAAACAGAGCCTATAGAATAATTGCAAAAGCTCTTCGAAGTCGAAGCCCAAAGAGAAATATGAAATTTAATGGGGAATTAAACATCCAAAGGTTCCCTCTCCAAACCTCTAAAGATCCCATAATATAACCCATACCTTGGCAAGCTGTAAAAATTGGTCATTTTCATGAAAAGGCGGATGGAGGAGGATCGTCTTGATTATATCACTGGCATCCCTATGGCGGGCTAGCAAGAATTTGAACGTCTGTATTAAATAACTCAAAATAAATTTCACAAACTCGCATCTCTAAAGAATATGATCCAGGTCTTCCTTTGCCTTCCGATGGAGAATGCAACAAAACGAGCCAGCTAACACGGGAAACTTCCTTGAAAGCCAATCCAAAATGTTAACTCATCTGTGTAGAACCTGCCAAGTAAATAACTTTTTGGTAGAGATTTTAATTATTGCATTCATGAGAGATCCCCAGTTGGAAGGCAAATGAAGGGCGGGAGAAAGTTTAATAAACTTATTGAAGATCTTGGTATGCTGGAACTACCTCTGTCAAATGCTCTGTTCACATGGTCAAGGACGGGGGATGAAACTTCTCACTCATTATTTGACCGGTTCTTTGTTTCTAAGTAATGGAAGACTAGCTTGTATTTTTTTCCTCTAATTAACAGCTCAAGCTGATCGATTTTGTTGTATCTGTTGTAATGAAGAATTGTGTCAAGAACTACACTAATTGGTGCAAGTATTTGGATCGTAAAAGTAGTCCTTGGTTTCCATATATGTAGCAGGAAGTGCAGCATCGGAAAGTCTCTATTCATGGCTTTAGTTTTTCAGGGAAAGGCTGCAAATATGAATACATTTTTTTGTCTCCATTTAAAACGTCTAACCTTGAACCTTTTTCTTTCTTTGCACATCAATAAAAGTGTTGTTCATTGTTAAAAAAAAACATAGTGAAATTGAACTACGTGTCATCTCACCATCAAAACAATACCAAGGACAAGCTTTGATGAACTAACTTCAGGCCTGACTTGTATTCTATATACAATTCCACTTGAGAGGGTATAACTTTTTTATTTAGTTAATCGTACCTTTTTCCTAAATTATAGTTTTATATTTCTTTTTCTTGAATTCTTGTCATGCTAAATTTTCTTGTATTTGTTTCCTATGTTGAATAAGAAATTAATTTCTCCCAAAACTATGCTTATTGGTTTATAAAACTTTGACAGTTACCTGAGTCTATGAAGCAAAGTCAAGCTGACCTATATTTGGAAACGTATCAAGTTTTGGACTTGGAAATGAGTCGTCTACGTGAGATTCAGAGATGGCAAGCATCAGCTGCATCGAAGGTATTGCTTTTAGTGAATTGTTCCATTATTGTTAATCTAAATTATTGATTTATGTAGGTTGTCTTTTATGCAGCTTGCTGCTGATATGCAACGTTTCTCGAGGCCTGAGAGGCGCATTAATGGCCCATCAGTTACTCATCTCTGGTCTGTTATGATATGTGGTAGATCATATTTCGGTGTTAATTTTAGCAACTTAACATCAAGGAAGTTTGAACTCAAGCTTCTCTAACATACAATTAGACTATCAGTTATCCCTCCCAACGTTGGGAAATTTTAATTTTAGGTCAATTTCCATATTTCTAAATTAAACTTTTTACACCTTAGGTCAATGCTGAAATTGCTTGATGTTTTAGTTCAACTTGATCATCTTAAAAATGCGAAGGCAAGCATACCCAACGACTTCTCTTGGTATAAAAGGTAGGTGAACATCTTTTTTTGTCTTTATGATTTATGATTTTTAGTGGATGTGAAAGAGAAATTTTGATTATGTTTGAGTTCATCCACAATTTAGTCCTCTTTCGCAAGCTGTTTGTCTAGTTCTTTCTTTTTGTTCTTTGTAAAGAAACTGAAAATTTTCATTAAGATATAAAAAGTTGGAAAAGTTACATACGAACAAAATAGAGAAAAAAAGAGACCTCCCCGACTGTAGGCTAACATATGTATGCATTGTTTACTTTAAAGAACGACATTATATTTTTTATTTCCTCCTTTTTGGGACAAACTCTTCTACATCAGAGGCCAGTAAAGAATAAAGTTATTTGAAAAGGGAGATACTGGGATTGGTTTCCATGAAACGTTTGGGTTGTTGTCCTTTTACTCTGTCTCTTTGGAGTTATTCTTTTACGTGTTTGGGTTCTAGCTAGCCAGACACGAAACTTAAAGAGAGATCATTGAGGAGTTCTTTCTTCATTTGCCGCATGGGGAGGAGAGGTTCTTGTGGTTACCAGGGGTTTGTGCTTTATTGTGGGATCTTTTGAGAGGGAGAAACAATGGAACCTTTAGAGGAGTTGAAAGAGATCCGAGTGATTCCTTTTTTTTTTTTTTTTTTCAAAAAAAAAGGTAAGAAAGGAGTTATAGTGACGTTTGGTCCCTTGTTTGGTTTTATGCAAATCAAACCTAGATCAATTGAAATGAAACTAGTTTCACATTAGGATATGGTCAACGAAAAAGAGAAAAAGAGTATTTGTTCTTACCCCAAGGTTGAAATGCTCCAAAAGTTTTGACCAACCGAAACTTGAATTTACTTTCTCTCACTCTTCTGCAAAGTTTGGCTTCCCATTCTTATTCTTGGAGGCCAGTTGGTGTAGCCTAATGGATTAAAGGAGAAAATTCTCCAAGAATCAAATCGAAGTTTTCATTATTAATTAAAAGTTAGTGGATACATGAGGGCAATTCTCTAGGAAAAAAACTAGGATTTAAAGTACAGAAAGCAAATTAAAAGGAAAACTAAAATCCAAATAGGAAACTAAAGAGGATTGTTCAAGGATTAAACCAAGATTAATATGAATTTCCCCCAATTTTGCCTAATCCTACTACTTCCACCAATCAACTGTGAGAGTTTTATGTTGGCCAAATATCTTTCAAGTGTTACATAATCTCCAAATTATTGACTTTAATTTTATTGTGGTATTATTTTATTATCTGTTTATGCATGTGAATGTAAATAATATGAAAGGTCTGGTATTGATAGAAGTTTCTGGCTAGTTATAAAAAGTATTTTTTCCCCCTTTCTCCAGGACCTTCACACAAGTCAGTATTCAGTGGCAAGATTCTGATTCAATGAGAGAAGAATTAGATGACTTACAGGTTTTTGGTACTACCCCTAAAATGTTATGTTGTATATGTGATCAAGGGCTGTAGAGTCAGGATATGAGCCATATATAGTCTATTTGGTTGCTTAGGATTTCAAGTGGTTTCAAATCCTAACTGATTTCAAATGAATTCTTATTATTTTTTTGTTATCCCATAAAATAGAAGGATTTGAAATTTTAAGTTAAATTACTTATTTAGCCTTAACTTATTTCAAATGATAGTATTTTGCAAAATTTCATATTATTTTGAGTTAAATTACTTATAGCCTTATCATATTTTAATCCCTTATTAATAAATCAAGATTAAAAGCCTATACGTGAACTTTTTCACTTTCTTTTCCTTGCTTGGAAACATCCAAAAAAAAGAAAAAATTATGTTCATTCCTAATATTTCTTGTTCCAAACAAGATATATATACATATATACATAAAAATAATATCTTGGATTCCAAGTCACATGATTTAAAAAATAATTTCTTGAATTTTCTTGATTCCGAATGGAGGGTAGTTAATTATGAAATAATGCTTTGTTGGCTTGGCACTATAATATCTTTTATCCTTTTAACTTTTAACTTCTAACTTTGTTTTCTCTTTCCTTCTATTTTTTGCTATCTATTTCGCAACAGATTTTCTTAAGCACACGATGGGCCATTTTATTGAATCTGCATGTTGAGATGTTTCGTGTAAACAAGTATCCTTACTTTTAGATGTCTTCCAAATGAAGAGGATTGAATTTAGGGACTCTAAATTATATTACTTGATTTGTCTTGAAGTTCTACAAAAGTTATGTTGGTACCAAAAAAAAAAATAAAAAAATAAATAAATAAAAGAAACCTTTCATCTTTTTAGACTTCCTTGACATGAAATAGTGTAGAAGACATTCTTCAGATCCTCATTGTCTTTGCTGTGGAGTCCTTGGAGTTGGATTTTGCACTTCTATATCCAGAGAGGCATGTGCTTTTACGTATTCTGCCTGTTCTTGTCGTATTAGCAACATCATCAGAAAAGGACAGCGAATCACTTTATAAGAGGGTGAAGATCAACAGACTCATTAACATCTTTAAGGTATTGCAGGCTTTAGAATGATAACCAAACCATTGTTTTTTTATTACTTATAAGACAGATTAGATTTTGGCCATCATATCTTTTTTATATCTTTCCAGAGTGATCCTGTGATTCCAGCATTTCCAGATCTTCATCTTTCTCCTGCAGCAATCTTGAAAGAGTTGTCGATATACTTCCAAAAATTTGCTGCCCAAGCTCGTCTTCTTACTCTTCCAGCTCCACATGAGCTTCCACCACGTGAAGCACAAGAATATCCTGTTGTTTTTTTGCACTTAGTGTTTACTCTCTCTACTGTGCATGAAAAATCTGAAACTTTGGTTTAAAGAAAAGTATCTTAAAACTTTATCCAAATCCTGTAGTACATAAAATCTATACATAAAAAATATGCATACTCATTTTTTACAATGTGATAAAATGATTAAAATAATTTGGCACCTTTCATTTTAGTATCACATTACATCATGTGTTGTTGTGTTACTGGTGTTTCATTTGTATCTCCCCCAACCATGTGGTTGAGATTTCAGTACACATTTTAGTAAAAGCCTTGACAATAATCTACATATCAGAGACATTACCTTATCATCAACCACATTGGAGCAATCCGTGCAGAGCACGATGATTTCACCATTCGATTTGCGTCATCAATGAATCAGGTTTTTTCTTTATCTTACTTCTGATCTCTCCCTTTCCTAAATACAATAATTCATCGTTACGAACATCAATGGCTGTAGGTCATATTTCACACCACTCAAACTAACTTCAAAGCATCACCAAAATCATCAACATAACATGAAAAAGAATGGAAAGTTTAAGGTCCTTTGACAAATGAGTGACTCCTTAAGTGAATACAAAACTAGGATCTCTGAAGATAATTTTTGTCTACTACAATTCTGAATGGAAACTTGCTTAACCAAGGGAGCCAAAGAACAAACATAGGAGCCAAAGAACAAACATATTTTTCTAACACTCTGGTTTCCAAGTATTAACTGCGATGATTGGAACTTTTGAACTTGTTATAGGCAACTATTAGTCGAAATAGAAATTAATAGAATCTAGTAATAATATATAGCCAATATGCGCGCAGTTCGGTGGTTAAGGAATCTTCTCTCTTTTGAGATGGTTTAAATATCCACTCCCACGTTACAATATCCTCATCCTTTTAGTATCATTTCATTATAGCAATTACCAATTCATATCATAGTAAAATAAATATATCCCAAGCACTCTGGAAGGCCTCGACTATCCTACATTCCATTTCCATAAAATCGTCTACCAACTCCCCCTATCCCACCCTATTTATAATCAGCTCCTTAGCCAACTGGTTGTCTAGTGATCGAATGCCCCCATTATCCTGATGGTATGTTCAATATTGATCCTAATGATATTTCTAACGTCATGTCTATCAAATTCAAAATTTTCAGGTACCATCGACCTGGAATGTACCAGCTCCTAGATGACTAGATATTTGTCAAAAATGTCTGACATATTTTTTTGAATGAGAAACAAATTTTTTTATTGAGAATAAAAAATGACCAGTGCTCAAAGGATATAAACTCCACAAGGGAGTGAAAGAAAGAAAAACTAAAAACTACCATTGGAAATAAATACATCCCTGTGTAAATATATATTATGTAGATAAAAATCAGCGAAGGACTTGTAACGAGCACACGAAAAAGAAGCTTTCAACTGGGCTGATTCAAAACGGTTGATCCAAGAAAGTTGCTTATTTAAAAAAATTATCGAGTTCCTGTCCATCCAGAATTTTGAAAGATGAGCTTTAATCATATGAATCCATAAAATATGAGAATTTGAAGGCATAGAATTCCTAAAAATAACTCAAAATGATAATTTAAACCATAGTTTGTTTGAAGCCCCAAAAAGGAAACAAAAGGATCCATTGATCACTTGAGATAGGTTCTCATTTTCAATCCGGGAGTAGTGAGAATAATTAAGTGACATTCTCTTTACAGTATGTCACAAATGATGAGAAAGTGCTAAAGGTTCCCCATCTACAAATAATGCTTTTGGTTGTACTGAAACTTTTCTTGACCTTGAACATGCAGCTGCTGCTGTTGAAATCAACAGAGAATCCAGATATTGAGTGGTGCAAAGATGTTAAAGGAAACATGTATGACATGGTTGTTGAAGGTTTTCAACTCTTGAGCAGATGGACTGCACGTATTTGGGAACAATGTGCATGGAAATTCTCTCGCCCATGCAAAGACGTTATTTCTTTGGAATCTCATGAAACCTCGTCATTCTCAGACTATGAAAAGGTTCTAAATTTTCATTTTAGCAGTAACAGTTATCCAGATGTCACTCTTTATTATTTGGCATGTCTGTAGACCTTAGTTCTTGGATTATTTTATTTTATTTTGGCCTAGATTGTTCATATTTCTTGAATCCTTATTTTCCGTTTTCTACCTTTTTATTATTCTGTTTCACTTGTATTTTGAATTAGAGCCTGATTGGTCTAAATATTTCCTCATAATATCAGTAGTGTATGCAAGATTGGCATTCTTGGCCTCCAATGTTGCTAAAATCATTCCGATATGTATTCTCTAGCAATCCTAATCTTATTGTGTTTTGAACCTTTGTTTAAGTTATTGTTAAAGGAATGACTTTGATTTAAGGAATATTTGTGTTATTCCTAGCTTGAGATATTTGTGTAATCTTACTAAATAATAGTAGTAGTTGACCTCCTAATTTATCTGGTACCTGGTATCTAGGGATTTAGTTAGATTTATAGTTACCTAGTGTTTAGAAATTTAGTTAGCTTTTCTATATTATCATTTTACACTTTGGTATCAAAGTTTTTTCTACTATGGGAAATATAATTATAACCATATCCTAACTCAATCGGTGAAACTTCCATAGTTGCCGATCATCTCATGTGATCAAGTTTTATTTGGAGCCTTCATAGTTACTACCGTCCGCCATTAAAACAACATTGATCCAATATTGCATTAACCTTGTACAACAATTCGTGATCACACAAAACAACATTCATCCAAAGTGCGTCCGTAAGAGGAATACATTAGCCTTTATCCATTCATTTTTTCAACATTAGCCGTAAATACAGTAACGGTATTTCATTCCTTCAACGCAATTCTAGCTGTAAAGACAGTGGCAATAATTCTAGCCGAATTTCCCACCTCAATTGTTCCATGGCAACAAACTTCACAAACCCATCAACACTAGCCGTAATTCTAGCTGTGATTCTAGCTGAATCTCCATCACTAGCTGAATCAAACAAACTTCATCAAATCCACCACTAAGCCCAATCACTATCTTGCTTTCATCCATTCCCTGGTTCATCACTATTCCACAATCCTCCAGCAATCTACTAGTTCATCACTATTCCGCAAGCCACCGCTTTTGAGCAAGAAAGGATTTTCGCTTACGTGTTTTGAATAAATTTGCTTTCAGACTAATTTTCCCTCCTGACTAAGACTCACCTGTTCATCACTTCAGAAGGATCGAAAATCTCATCCCTAGCAATGAAAATTCCTACAGTGTGACTTGTTAGTTAGCAAATTGAGAGTTAGTTAAATCTCAAAGCTGGTCTAGTAAGTTCTTTTTGAAAATTTGGAGACCAATCAACTTCTTTGAAAATGTTGGTCATCCATCAATGTGGCTTGTTAGTTTTTGAAGTTGTTATTTCAGACATTTTAAGGAGAAATAATAGCATCGTTTAGTTTTCTATCCGAAGTAGGGAATAACAGTGTTTTAGAAATAATCTCAGAAATAATTACAGTGTTTTAGAAATAATCTCAGAGATAACATTTTCCTTGATTGTCTTTATTCTAAGCATTGTTGGTGGAAATTCTTTTCGATATTTAATGTCCAGTGGGTATTCTCCAAATCCTTCAAGGAAAAATTCTCCGGTTTGTTGGTTTTTCTTTGGAGTTGAAATCAAAGATTTTGTTGTCTAATGCAGTGAAAACCATTTTATCAGAAATTTGGTTTGAAAGGAACCAGAGGACCTTTCAAAACACGCTACTTACATGGAATGATCGTTTTGTTTCTGCTTGTCTTAAGGCTTCTTCCTAGTGCACTGTTTCCAAACACTTCGCTGATTACTCTATCAGGGACCATTATCTTAATTGGACTGCTTTTATCTTTCTCTTACTATTTAGTATCATATTTTTATTTTTGTTTCCTATTTTTGTTTCCTTAGTTTCCTTTTCAAGAAAAAAATGACAAAGCCTGGTCTATGTTCTCTGATTGTCTTTTGGCTTGATGACTTTGTTGTATTTTGATGTTTTTCTAGGTGGTGAGGCATAATTATAGTGCGGAGGAAAGGAAAGCTCTTGTTGAGCTGGTTAGCTATATAAAGAGCATTGGGTCAATGATGCAGCAGTGTGATACTCTGGTAGCTGATGCTTTGTGGGAAACAATACACGCTGAGGTTCAAGATTTTGTTCAAAACACATTGGCAACCATGTTGCGAACTACATTCCGGAAGAAGAAAGAAATTTCAAGGTGCAGAGTATTTCTGATTTCCTTGGTTTTAAACAAACTTTCGTTCCGCTATGTATTTTTTTAGTATTTTTTGGTTGATCAGGAGTTACTGAAAATTGTCTATTATGCTTATAAATTAAAACAGAATCTTCACAGGAAAAAATATTTAGGAATAAAAAAGATCTTCCCTTTAGTTGGGTTTATGTGGAAGGAAAGTGGATCATAAATATTCTTTATCAATTTGGTAGAATTATGAATCATGATATGAGAGTGAAGGATTAGCGGTAAGTTAGAAGATATTTGTGTAATCTCATTAAATAATAGAAGTAATTGACCTCCCTATTTTATCTATATTGTTACCTAGTATCTAGAGATTTATTTAGATTTATTGTTACCTAGTGTGTAAGGATTTATTTAGATTTATTATTACCTAGTACCTAGAGATCTATTTAGATTTATTGTTACTAGTACCTAGGAATTTAGGTACATGTACCTCTTTTCAAATAAATATGAAAAATAGCAAGATAACTTAGAGTTACAACATAATATCAAATCCTTTCTAGTCTAAAAAGTCTAATTAATTGGTGAAGCCTTCATAGCTCCTGATCACTCACCTTGATTAAGTGTCATTTGGAGCCTTCATAGCTGTCGATCTTTTACCATGACCAAGGACCTTCCAAATCTTGTAATAGAGGAAGAACAACCTCATCCCAACAATCACTCACAAGAATGATATTGTGATTGTCAACGTCTAGTTATGATATTCATAACTGAAGCAGAAGCTTGAAGTCGTAGATGTTGCAGTTTCATGTGTTGAGTTCATTTGCCCCGGAAGCTTGAGCAGCAATTTTAGCACTCAACTGGTTGAAAATCGAAGTGTAACCCTTCAGAACAGCAACGACATTAAGGGACGAAATTAGTGGCTCATTTGCATTCCCACTTGTGATTTCCCTTCTGACTCTTGAATCCTTGAACTTCCTGTCAGAATATAAGTTTTCAGCATCAAAAGCCCATTGGAGTGGACTCTGCGTTGGGCTCACTTGCTATTTCCATTTGCGTTCCCACTTGATGCCTTGAATTCTTGCGTCAGGCCCCCTTGCAATTTCCGTTGCAACATCAGACAAAGTTCATTTGGACAAAGTCCATTCAACAATAGCAACGAATTGGCCCATTGGCATAAAGAGGCATGTGCCTAATGGGTTTGAAACCTCAACGTTTTCTCTTTTTAAAGGATCATTATGGTAGTCCCACATGTTCCATCAATTTTTGATAATCCAGAATTTTTAAGGAAGGCCCAAAATCTAATGTACCTTAATTCAAATGCAAAATATGATTTGTTTCCTTCCTTCTTGATTATTTCACCATCATGTTAGAAAAATCTCAAGTCGTTCTTCTAATCTTTTTCGCAAAACATCAAATTCAAAGATTCAGATTTGAGATACTCAATAATGGAGGGAACTAAGAGGATTGGAGGAAGAAAAGGAAGTGACAAAATTAAGATCTACAAATTTGTCAAGGTTGGCCTCCAATTTTGTGATAGAAGAATCGGATGGTACCTTAAGAAAGGCCACTACGTAAAGTGCATTGCCATAGATGCTATGATCTACCTAGTTGTCGTCCTCAAATACCTTGTCACTAAGGTTTTGGAATTGGCCAGTAATGTAGTGCGTGACAATAAGAAAAATTAAACCCTAGACATGTTTTTCTAGTTGTGAGGAATGATGAGCAGCTCGAAAAATTGCTTCAAAGAGTCACCATTGCAATTGATGGAGTTCTTTAGAACATCAATCGATAGAAGTGTTCTCGAAGGAACGAGTATGAGAGAGGAAAACGACACCCATGGAAGTGTTCCAAGAGGATTGAGTATGAGAGAGGCAAGTAACGCCGGTGAAAGTGCTCCAAGAGGAGTGAGCATGAGAGAGGCAGCAATGCCCATAGAAGTGCTCCAATAGTAGTCTATATGATAGAACAAGTAATGCTCGTGGAAGTGCCCCAAGAGGAGTGAGCATGAGAGAGGCAGCAATGCCCATAGAAGTGCTCCAATAGTAGTCTACATGAGAGAACAAGTAATGCTTGTGGAAGTGCCCCAAGAGGAGTGAGCATGTGAGTATGAAACGCCTGTGGAAATGCTCCAAGGAAATAGTAATGCATGAGTTATGTGCTCCACGACTTCAACGGACAAAAATGCTAACAAAATGACTTCACAACTTACTGCTTCATGAGTTAGTATCCAAGCTGAGAATGATATCTATTACTCAGCTTGAGTGGGGGAGTGTCGAGAGATTAGCCTTAAGTTAGGACATATTTATGTAGTCCCTTATTTTAATCTAGTATCTTGGTTTTATTAGATTTATTGTTACCTAGTATTTAGAGATTTATTTAGATTTGCTGTTGCTAGTATCTAGGGTTAAGTTAGCCTTTCTCCCCTGTGAAAGCAGTAACCCTTTGAAACTTAGTAACCCGTTTACAGCTTTTTTTTGGTAAATTTTAGTTGACGTTTTCAGTTCTTCATAACTTCTGCGATTGACTACCTTTCAGGATTCTTTCTGATATGCGAACCCTGTCAGCTGATTGGATGGCAAATAGAAGCAAATCTGAATCTGAAGCACAGTCTATGCAAAGAGGTGAAGAAAGTAAAGTGAACTTCTTTTTTCCACGGCCAGTTGCACCTACAGCTACTCAGGTCTCTTTGGTTTACCTTTTTTCTTGTTGTGCATTTTGAAATGAAAAGAAAAAAAAAATGGTTTGAGCATACTACCCCATGTGACCAATAAAGAAAAACTTAGATTGCTTGCGTTGTTAGGTCATAAAATAGCTTACCTTCTCATGTTTTAGGATTTTGCCTCTATTTGGGGATACATGGTTAAGTTTTTTCCCATCTCTTACTTGGGCCTCTTTGCTATGAGGTAATCTGCATACCTTCTCTTTTTGGGAACCTGTCATGCCGAAAAATCACTTCCAGGTTGTGTAGATGAAGCAGACAACGCTCCAAAAGCGAAAGACTCACTTTGGCCCAATTGTTGCTTTCCAACCTTCTCACTTATTTCTTATTTGTCTTACGTGTGACCGCCAAGGTCTGTTCTAATATTGATATGCTGATTCTAAGTTTTTTTTTTTTTTTTTTTTGTGGAAGTTACTAATGAGGAAGGAGGCCTTGTTTTTTGCGGAACATTTATTTTGTGGCTCTCTGGTCTTCTTCTTTTTTTATTAAAAAAAGCCACTTCTCATTACCTGCAACTGTTAATGAACTATGAAATCTAAATACTTTTGTAGCTATTCTTTGTTGACCAATTGGATATCCTTTCCATAACCTTTTTGATTGGCGTACATCCCTGTACTTTCAATTTCCAAGGTCTGCTATTTCTTACGTTAAAATAATGATAATAGTTAAAGAAACTAACAATTTGTTCTTCTATGTTTATCACTTTTATGAGTTGCTATCAGTCATGAAAACAATACTTTGTTCTTCCAATACAAGATTTTCTCAAGTCGTCATTGTTTGTTCTTTTAAATGTGTTTCATTACACTTAATTATATAGCTAATAGC